ATAAACACATGAAAATAGAAAGAGTGCTCCAACAGAAGAGGATAAACGTGACTTGAGTAGTGAATACGACGTAGGAAAAATCCTGAACAATTTTATATTTTAATATTTAATTTTTAACATTTATCAATATATATGATAAATATATATTTTAATTATTTTAATATGAAGACGACAAGGCATGTAATGAACTAGTTTAACGTTAAGCAAATAAGCACCTGAGGATGGCACTTTTGTGCCGAAACATGTAGTGCGAGTGAGAGGAGTGAAGTAGATAAGTGTATGCACTAGAAGACGGATTAAATAAATCATGGACTTGAATCAGTGCAACAGGATGCTAAAATATAACATTATTAATATTACTTGTCTGATCTGTTTGATTATTTTTGTTGAATCATCATACACGATTACATTAACTGTTAAATATTAAATAAGGACGTTCAAAAATTCTTTCTCCGCCGGTCTCTCTGAGCCGTATGTCGGTATCATGGAGCATCAGACTTTGAATAAGGAAATTATCATCAGAATCCAGCAAAGATAACGGATACTTCACATGCGTTTCTAATCTAGGGGACAACTCACTTAATATTTGTCTTACTAATAGACATTATTGAAAAGTTTTGTAGAGGCAAGTGAAACATTTATGTTGCGTCCAGTAATTTTGTTGCACAAGTATTGCGTGTTTGAGATGAATTAACCCGACATAACTGGTAGGTTGTTCCCATAATTCTTATACTGCTTTAGTTCACAAACAATTCTTTAACATATAAAGATTAAATATTTTTATTTCAATACGTGTACCGTTGTGCACCGTATCTCCTCTTGCATGCTGATAACATGGAGTGCCTTTGCTAAGCCTAAACCACGGAAATGTGTATATTTATGACTTCCCTGACGAAGATGTTGCTTCATTTCACCGTCTCTTAAAACATATATGAAGATAAAGAACAACTAAGGCTGGGGCGACACGAGCGCATAAAGTACGTCCGTTCCAACGGACGTTGCTAAGGACACCACACAGTTGCAGAATGTGGTGCGTAGTTTTTTTTTGCAATTGAGCGAGAAGAAAGCGTAGCTATTCGCCTCTCTTGTTTATTTCTACAACGGACGCATTTTGTGCGCTCGTGTGGCCCCAGCCTAAGGTGAAGATCAAAATATGAAACAAGTTAGGAAATGCACGAATAGCAACGATTCTGCACCTTTTTCATGAATATTTCGAAAACCGCGGAATTTACGTGGAACAAAACAAAAAAGCAAAGCAAACTCCGTGGTTTTAGTCCGCAAGTGAACTATGCCGACCAAGTGACCGCCCCTTGCCGGCGAAGTTAGTACCAACTTTAATGGATAGAGGGTGTCGCATGGTCAGCGCAACGAATCTCCACGGCTGTTAATTTCGGTTTTCTAACAGTATTTATTTTTATATACAAAATTTGTTTGCATATAGAACTCATATACTGAATATAGAGGTGAAATTACTTACAATGACTTGTTTCACAGTCATCTCTGATGCTGCTGAAAAGAAGAAAATTCACATATCATTGAAAAAAGCAACGAAAGTTTCATTCTTGTACGTGACGTAGGCAGACAGCCTTAGAGACACTAACAGAGATACATAGATAAGGAGATTGGATACGAGTAGATGGAAACTTAACTAACTCAGTAACTTCACTGATAATTATGAAACGCAGATTTAATTCAAACTAATTACATTTCTTCTTATTTTGGGGGGTTGCAGAGGAACATCCCAGAGTACTGTTAACCGACCCATAGTTCAAGCTTATACTCCTGCTTAAACATCGGAAGAATTAAGTCGATCTAAGTAATGTTTAATTAATTATTCCGACTCCTCATACACCATATTAAGCCTCTACTAATGTTACTTTGAGAAAGAGTCGCCGTGTAACTAGGTAATGACAACACATAAATACACTCCATGGGCAAACACAAATTTTGTTAACGTTAAATTTAGTAGCAGTTGCCATTGTGCCCACAAGAATTAATTACAGCCTCAACGCAGCATCTAACTATGTAACTAACCACGGATCGGAGACCATTTTCGAGGGATTATGTGACTGCAACTTTCTCCCAAGCTGCAGACCGACGCTTTTCACCTGTTCACGACTACTAATTTGACATATTCTGGGTTACACTCCGTACTGGAGACAGCCTCTGTCATCTGTAAGGACGCGCCATGCCATGGGAAAAATACCCCATGATGAGAAACCGCTTATTATACAGGTTTTCTGAACCTCCTGTTACTTGGGCCCAGATGTGCCCTGAATCACTCTCAGTTTCTGTCCTTCCCTTATGTCCGGCTGTGTCCGGCTGACTTATTTCCACCATTCGTGTTCCGCATTTTGCTAGGATGAATCCGGACTGGATTGCTGCTCGAAGGTCGAAGGAAGTACCGTAGCAGAATCACCACGGTACCTTCTAAATTCTCATAAATTCAAATGCAATTTAATATGATTAAAAATGAATAAGCTATGAAGAGAAAATTATTGTTTTTAGATTTGTTCAGTTCTATTCGCTGAATTATAGGTCTCTTTCAGAAACCATTCAAATATACGTGTAACAAAATATCAGTTTAAAAACCTGAAGAGTATGGACTACTTTTAGATACACATAGATGAAAATACAGCATTATAATGGGAGTTAAATAATGGTATGTATTTTTTTATTGCTATTCGGTTGGGACTGAGTTCCTTGTACTGCGGCCACTTCTGGCCTATTGTACCAGCCCCAGATGATAGGTGAGGGTGATTGTGGAGCAATTGGTGGAATGAAGATTGGCAGGGGAAGCAGAAGTACTCGGAGAAAACCTGCCCCAGCGCCACTTTGTCCACCACAAATCCCACTTGACCAGACCCAGGATCTAACCCGGGCCGCCGCGGTGGGAAGCCAGCGACTAACCGCTTGAGCTATGGCGCGGCCACTAATGGTATGTAAACCTGTATTGGATTTATCTGGCTCAGGATATAGTCCATTGGAAGTCGGTCCTCAACCTGATAATGTAAATTGAGGTTGTACAAAAGCCAAGGAATTTCATGACTAGGTGAGCAAGCATTAGCCTTTCAATAAGGAAAACACTCCATGGAGAGGATAGGTTAGTTACACAGAAAGACTTGCTTCATATTGCCCGAAATGTAAACGTGTAAATGCTCATAAAAGTACTACATGTCAACATGCACGTGTTCTGCAGTGCCTTTGTACGTATTTGCGTCTTCAGGCGCCAGTGGTGCGCTTACCTTGCGATTTCGTCTCTAAGATGCATCTCGTGACGATGGCCGTCTCATTCTCCGAGACTTGCCTGGCGTCTTTCTCACAACACTGTCGTCCCCCCGACACATACAAAGATAAGACATAAGATTACGTAATTGAGATTATGACCTCTCGTTGTGGTGATCATTAAGACTCCCGTATTCTGGGATGTGATTACGGATGTTTGCCATGAGCAGACGGACCGTATTAACACGCAAATTTCTTGAATTTTCAGTCCCGATCCAGCAGAAAATTCAATGGCAATTCAGAATTTTGCATCCATTGCTTAACCGACCTAGGGCAAGTCTTGTCCAGGATACCTTGCACCCCGGATACCAATGCCCCATGAAGTATGAATTTTTTTCGCGCTATATGATATATAGTACAAGGTTTACGGGTTTGAGACTAGCTAAACTCCCGTTCGAGCAGTTGTGAACAAATGTCTGAAACATTATAATTATTATATTTATTTTAAGAATTTAAGTTGTTTATGGCGCAGCAATTAGGCGCTGTTACGTCTCATCCACGTAAAATTTCATAATCAATAATTAGACTTTTTAAAATATTGTACTGTTTCTAATGCAAGCAAACACAGGCCTGTTTCTTACGTAGCGTAATGTAGCATTACTGTGCTGACGAGCTGAACGTTTGGGGCACTCTCCGTGCATAAGATGGTCTAGCGAGCCCTTAATTCAACTGCCGTGTCTGGCAGACTTTTAGGTTCAGTTTGATTTTTGTTACCTATAGGAAATCTTGTGGTAGAAAAAGTATTTCACCTCTAGTGGTTCATGACACTGAATTCAAAATCCGTAACGGTTCTATAGATGATATAAAGCGTCATAACATGAAACATTAATTGTATTAAAATCGGAGGGGGCACGCGGTAGCGTAGTTGGTTGAGGCGCTGTGCTACAAGCCGGAAGGTCGCGGGTTCAAGTCCCAATGAGGTCGCTGGATTTTTCAATTAACCTAATCTTTCCAGCCACACTGTGGCCCTGGGGTCGACCCAGCCTCTAACAGAAATGAATACCAGGAATATTCTTGACGGTAAAGGGCGGCCGGCGCGTAAGGCTGACATTCTTACCGCCATCTATGGGTCGATTGTCTAGAAAATGTGGGAACCTCAACATCTCACAACCCTGTGGGCCTCCACGGCCTGTTATGGTGATACCTTTACTATTTATGAATTTTTTTATCTTTCAGATATATTTGGATAAATTTGGAGCACTGCGCAGCGTGATGACTTTGCAAAACAGTGAGCTTTGTGTAAAGACAGACAGGTGTACATAAAGCTACCTGAAGCGCTCAGCATATAACATTTGCTCATTCCATGCATTTATCATTTTAAAATCCACATTTGTCTTTGGTTTGAAATAAAATTTTCATATTTTTTTCGCAGAACTACTTTCACTTCCGATTATGCAGTGC